GTTGCATCAAATTCTTCTCTCCAATTCTTCTTAATCAATCAATATATCTATACTATATATAAAAGCTCCAAGTCACCCAAACTCACGAAATTGAAATACCAAAATATCCCTTTTTTTATTAAATTAATGGCTTAATAGTCATTTTTAAAACTATCCAAACGAAAAAATAAGTTGGTTACATCACGTCATTAGGTAATTTCTTCTATTATTATTTTTTCCCTATTTAACCTCAATCTCATGATTTTATTAATTAATAATTTGAATCCAATATTACAATTTATTCAGCTTCAGGTAACATCCCAGATTGGTTACGATTTGTTGTGTTTTTTTCCTTTCAGCATCCCTTGTAAGTATCAGTTTCAAAGATAAGTTTACAAAAACCATTAGATAAAGCCACATCCTCTAAACTTAGGATTGTGTATACCTTTTTTCCTTGATTGGATTTGATTGATACTTTCTGTTTTGGATTTCAAAAAATCACCGGCTCTGTAAAAGAAAATATTATTTAGATGCAGTTATGGGTTCAATTCTTATTTTTTTACCAACATCTCACCCTTCCTACTATTAATCTTTGTATGTGATTTTTCAAAAAAAAAAAGAGAATAGAAATCGATAATACTCAAAACTGTGCAATAATATACCTAACGCATCTTCTGTTAAGCATCATGAGATGTCATTAATTAATGATGGAATTTTATTGAAGATGAACAATTCAAAATTATTATATAACCACAGCATATCAAAAGACACTTACCCATGCAAACATACCACTAATAAGCTGGAGATATCCACGTTGCTAATCTCAGTTTTGCATCACTTCATGAATGAAATGCCTAATGTATTGCAAATTGGTTAGCACGATTAAGATTGTAAATTAGGGAATAAGAATTCATGCCTCAACTCATTCCTTCTAATGATTTCCATTTGCAATTTCCATCTGCAAACTAGAGGATCGTCTGGATAGATTTTCCAAGTCCAATTGGAATCAATATAGTTTTTAAACACAACATTCTACTGTTGGATAGTTTTCAATTTAGTAACACAAACTCTTGCTAGATTTTAACATATAATAATAATTAAAATTATATAATTTAGAATATCAAAGTAGTAAAAAATATCATTGACAATAATCATTATAAATTCTTATTCTGTTACAAAAACTAAATTTAAACAATTCTTTTATCTAGATTATGAAAAAATATTGTCTACATTATGTATAATTCCTTCCCAAGGAAACGATTGATATATTTTCCCAACAACTATCATGAATTACGAATGACAGTAATTATTAAAAAATAATAGAATTATAACGGAAGAAATATCAAAGAGTCAACGAAAACTACAAGCAAGAATAACATCAGCAAAAAATAATAATCATAGAGAAGAATAATTATAAGAACTTATGATATATATTTTTTGTAATTTATTATTGATAAGAACTATGGAGAAGAAAAATGGATTTATATCCGTTTCTTCAAAATATCAAATAAATTATTGTCTAAATTATATATAAGTTCTTCTCAAGCTAATGTTTAATATATAAATATTTCTTCAAGAACTACCAAGAATTACAAAAAATAATAAAGTTTGAAAAAAACAATAGAAACATAAAGGAGAATTTTCGAAGAGTCAACGAAAACTACAAACAAAAATAAATTCTATAGAAAAAAATAATCATAGAGAGGAATAATCACTAGAACTTATAACGGATGTGTTTGTTGTTTATTATCAATAAGAACTACGAAAAATCCGAAGAATAGTTAACTAGTCAATAAAAACTGCCAACTACAGCAACAACGACTGTGAAAAAATAATAATAATAAATAATATTATAATTTAATATTCTCCTTAATTAGTAATATAATTTAATAATTAAAATTATATAATTTAGAAAGTAAAATAATTTAAAAATATCATTGACAATAATCAATTTATAAATTTTTATTATATTACAAAAACTAATTCTAAACAAGACAGTGTAACAGCCCGGGTAATTTTTAAGTTTTTACTGTCACCGTAAAATTTATTTTACAGTTATTTACCGTAAAAATTAATCTTGGGTAATTAATTTATGGTAATTCGTACATCGGATTCCGAAACCGAGCCTTGTCCCACGCTCGGATTCTTCTGCGGATTTTTCGGACCAAGTTGGAATTTTTCGGGTCTAGGAATCTTCAGAAAAGTCGGGATTAACCCCGAGTTATCGGACCAGAAATAAAGTCAAGGGGGTACATTAGTTATTTTCTGGTTCGGACAGAACCCGCTTCACATGTTGCACAGTGTTGCAGCAGCCGCCACCACTATGCAGCATGTGAATGAACCCGTGAAGTGTCAGTACCCTGCCCGTGCCTAGCTTTGTCCTGCACTGCATGTCTTGGTCTTTCTCTGCCTTTCTTTTCCTCTTCCTCCTGCCTACAACACACCACCACCATTCTTCCTTGTTTCATCTGCAAAACCCACAAACCATCTCCTGCATACACAACCATAGAAACCAGCCTTGCATATTCACTCACAAAAAAAAAAAGAAACACACATACCCATCAGCCAAACTATGTCGTTTGGCAAACAACCACCCATCACCCATCTCTTTTTCTCTTTTCATTTTCTTTTCCTTCCTTATATCCAAATCAATCCCTTCGAGATTAAATTGATTAAAAGGAATTCCTATTACTCCAAAAAATGAAGTAAATAGTGCCAAAACAAACATCGGAAATAACATAGTATTGTCGGATTCTTGTGGATAGGAAAAATTGCTTTTACTTCCAAAAGGATTAATAAGAAAAGGGTACTTCCCTTTTTTTAGAGTCCCATCAATTTGATATCTTTTCTTCCAAAAAAAAGAACTCTGTCTACTATTATTCATTGTTACAACACACCACCACCATTTCTTCCTTGTTTCATCTGCAAAACCCACAAACCATCTCCTGCATACACAACCATAGAAACCAGCCTTGCATATTCACTCACAACAAAAAAAAAAAAATGAAACACACATACCTATCAGCCAAACTGTGTCGTTTGGCAAACAACCACCCATCACCCATCTCTTTTTCTCTTTTCATTTTCTTTTCCTTCCTGCCCGTAAACACCCACACCGGCCGAGCCACCGCCACCTGCAACTCGTCACCATCTCCCTTCCTACCTCTCCTCCCCTTCCTCGCTCACAGTTGCTGCAACCCGAGCCGTCGCCGTCGCCGTTGGTGGAACGAATCGAAGCAAGCTGCCGAGTTTGCCTCGCCGCCTCTCCTGGTTCAACATCGACCGCAGCCGTCAGCATCGCGCCCTCCTCGTTGCACTTCCCTTTCCGCCTCCTTCCTCGCGCTGCCGCGTCGCCGTGCCGCTCGTCTCCCCGTCGCCTCGCTGCCGCCCCTTACGCCCGCCACCTTGACCGGTTAAAGGGTGAGTACCCGTGTGTGTGACCGGGTCGTGGTCACGGGTCGGGTCTGACCCGGTCTTGTTGGTGATGGGCTGTGTGGGCTGAGACCGTGGGCTTGCTTGGGCCTGGCGTGGGTCTGGGCCGGTCTTGTGCGCGCCGGGGCTGACTGCCTTGCTGGTCTGCTCCTGCGCCTGGGCTTTAGCTTGGGCCTTGGGCTGGGCTTGGACTTGGCCCAGTCCAGAAATAAAAAAAATAATAATAATAAATAATAATAATATAATCTGGTTTAAATAATTATTTTCTGACACTAAATAATTTTTGGAAAGAAATTATGTACATGATTTAATTGGAATTATTTTTGGGAAAATTATTTTATGGAAATAATTTTTGGAAAGGGTATTATCAAGGTAATAAAATACCGGAATAATATCCGGATATAAGTATAGGTATAAGTGCAGTATTATCTTAGACACTGGAAATAAATGATGAATTATGACGATAATGGAAAATTAACCGGGGAGGTAACCGAGACGAGTTAGTAATTATTTTTCGTTATACAGTAGTAGCATGACATTGCATATCACTTATGTGTGCGTATTATTTGTTTGATATAGGAGTTGATAACGAGCAGATACCTGAGGAACCGGACTTGGAGTCTGTGGGGCATTTCCAAACTTGATAGTCGGCTAAGGTGAGGATAGATAACCCTTGATATGTGCCCGTATTGCTGTGTGTGTATTTTTGTTGTTTGATTGAACTGCTGGAATGATTATCGTCTGTTACTTGATTGTTGTGGAATTATTGATGCTGTTGTTGGATTGTGTTAGACTTGTGTATATTGTATTGGAAATAATGTTGAGCTGTTAATTTTGAATAATTTGTGTCATGAGACTGAGATAAGAGATTGAGTCTGTGGATTAATCGGAGATAATAGAAATTGGATAATTGATGAAAGAGTAATGGATTTGGACTGGAATTTGAGATGATGATTTAATTGTCACGTGGAAAGTAGTGGTACGACTAGATGGTTAGGGGCTAGTTCTGTGGTGTCATGGCCGGTTTGGTTGGTTGATATTGGGATGTTGATCCCGGATTGGTTGTTGTTGGGGATGTTGATCCCGGATTGTGATTTGGCCTGGCATCCGGAATTAGTTAATAACCAGGTACGACCCTAGCTTGTCCAGTGACGGGGCCCGAAAAATAAAATTGGTAATAATAATAATAAGCATTCTTTTGGTCTTGGCTCAGTTGTAGTTAGTAGAGTCTTTGTGTTGTGATTGTCTGTGTTTACTTCGAAAGCATTATGGTTGATTATATATCACTGTTTATCCTTCGTCGGTGAGCACTTCGGACTCACCCCTCGCCTGCGGGGTTTCGTCCCGTAGGTTTAGTTGCTTCGTAGTTCAGGTACGGCGTTCGATGGCTGCTGCTTTCTTCTCCACCTGACTCCGGATCCATACCTCCGTTGCATGTGCATTTAAGTCTTCTGCTGCTGTGTCATATATGATGCTGTGTTGCTGCTTTCCTATATTGCTTATGATGTTGATATTGTGCTGCTAAGGTTGACTTTCTCGACCCTTTGCCTTAGGATTAGTCAGTTCGATTTCTCGATGGGAGTAAGCGAAGGGATATAACTCAGCGGTAGAGTGTCACCTTGACGTGGTGGAAGTCATCAGTTCGAGACTAATTATCCCTAAACCCAAGGCAAGGGATAGAGCCTCGCGCTAGAGTGTCACCTTGACCTGGGATTGTGTAAGAAGAAGTTCGAGCTTGATTATCGCTAAACCCAATGTGACTTTTTCGATTTTGACTTGCCCCCCGCCGTCGTGATCCAATGAGAATGGATCAGAGGCTTGTGGTTCTTGTGCTAACTTGCAATTCCGAATAAGGACGCTATCGCGACTTTAGGTATGTTTGCGCTTCGCTGACTTGAATAAAGGAAAATCTTAAACTCTTTGGAAACAGAGCTTCAAAGATGCTAAACTCATTAACTCATAACTCATTAACTCATAACTCTCGTTCAGGGCTAAAACCAGGAAAAGAAAAAAAAATCTCTTACTCGCCATCTAATCTATTATGGAAATAGGATCCGCTGGAGGACAACTCCCAGCAAAAAGAAATGAAACTGGCTTTCTTGCAGCATAAGGCGCGCCCGCGGTAACTCGGATCTCAAAATGATCTTCCAGTTCTGGGGAGAATTCGCAAAACTCCGTTTCCATCGAGAATTGAATGGAGTTTTGCCGAAACATGAGGCTTTCGTGGCTCGGAAAACTATCAAAAATAAGAACGTAACTTTCGAAGACGAGATCATCGCTTTTTGGAATGAACTAGATTGAAATGGAACTCTTGTGTCTGTAGCACCAACTTTGAGTATGGATTGAATAATGGTCCCTCAGTGTGGGTGACCGATGTTGCTATGTACTTTTGCTGTATCTGGATTTATCGTGTAATATTTTGACTGCGATGTACTGTCTGTTCTATCAATAAGAATAGTTTCGGCACGTGTTTACCGTGTATGGTAAATACGGGTCGGGGCGCTTCAGTCAGTTATCTAGATTATGTAAAAATTTTGTCTACATTATGTATAAGTCCTAAAAAAAATGAGTGATATATAAGTCTTTATTTATATTTTTTAAACAACTACTAAGCATTCGAAAGAATAATAATCATTGAAAAATAACAAAAATATGAAGAAGAACAAGCGAAGAGTCAGCGAAAACTATAAACTAGAATAATATTTTCTCAATAATAACCAAAAATTACGAAGAACAATAATTATTTAAAATAGTAGAATTATGAAACGAACAACTGAAAAGTCAGCGAAAACCATGAATAAAAATAGTGTTTTCCCAAAAAAATAATCATAAAGAAATAATCACAAGAATTCATGACATATGTATTCAGTGGAGGACCCAGGAAAGTATTCTTGGGGGAGCCAAAAAGATAATATGAACCCAAATTTAATTTCCAACCTCTAACTACCACCAAGATAAGGATCATTTTATACAAATATATATACTACAAAAAGACCAGGGTAAAAATTTTGGGGGGACCATAGCACCCACCAGCCCCCCTTTGTGTCCATAGTGGCGAAGCTAGATAGAATTTTTAAAGGGGGCCAATATAACATTTTGTGTGTGATAATAAGGGTTTATGTAAAAAAATAAAATTTGGAGAAGTTCCAATAAATATTTCGTGTTTGATAATAAGGGTTTATGTAAAAAATAAAATTTAGAGGAGGCTAAATATACATCACGATAGGACTTATTTGAAAAAATTAAAAATTTAGGGAAAATTGATATATTACGATAAGAATTGTATGAAAAAATTAGAAACCTAGAGGGGGCCATGGCCGCCACTGTGTGTCCGCCACTGTATGTATTTCTAATTTATTACAAAGAAGAACTATGGAGAAGAAGAGTCGAATAGTCAACGAAAACTACGAATAAAAACAATGACTACAAAAAAGAATAATAACATAAAAAAATTATCATAGGAATTTATTACTATATATTTGTAGTTTATTGTCAACGAGAACCATGAAGAAGAAAAATTGAAGTACAATCCAATAGTTGATGTAAACTACCAAAACGAACAACAACCATGAAAATGAATAATAATTAAAATTATTTAATTTAAAATATAAATGGAGTAACCAGTATCATTAACAATAATCGAATTACAAATTCCTATTTTACTACATAAACTAATTCTAAATAATGAATTTATTTATATTTTCTAATCAACCATAAAAACATGAAGAAGTGCAGCTGAAAAGTCAAAAATCATGAACAAAAATAACGTTTACCAAAAAGAATAATCACAAGAGCTCAGATGTCTTTGTAATTTATAATCTAGAAAAATTATGGAGAGAAGAGTTGATTAGAATTGTAACAGCCCGGGTAATTTTTACGCTTTTACTGGTACCGTAAAAGTTTTTTATACAGTTATTTACCATTAAAATTAATCTTGGGTAATTAATTTATGGTAATTTGTACGTCGTATTCCGAAACCGAGCCCTGTCCCACGTTCGGGATTTTTCTGCGAATTTTTCGGACCGAAGTTGGAATTTTTCGGGTCCAGAAATCTTCACAAAAGTAAGGATTAACCCCGAATTATCGGACCAGAAATAAAGTCACTGGGGTATAATGGTTATTTTCTGGTCCGGACGGGACACGACTGCATAATTGACTTATGCAGCTGCCACCCACTGTGAAGCATGTGAGCGGATTGTGCTACCCGTGCCTTGCTTTTCCTGTGTAACCAGTGCCATGCAAGTCTTCAACCGTGATTCTCTTGCCTTATCATCTTCACCTGCAAAACAAAACCTCTACCAGTAGCCTTCCTCTTCCCTGCACCTGCAAACAAACCGTTTCCCTTCCCTGTAAACACTGAAACCAGAAAAAGAAAAAAAAAAGAAAGAAAGCAAAAAAAAAAGCCCACACACCTAGCACCGAAACACCGTCGTTTTGACAACCCCAACACCCCATCTTCATCTCTTCTTCCTCTTCTCCACCATGAACCACATTCGGCCGAGCCACCACCACCACCTTCGACCTCCTGCACCACCTCCTCTTGCGCCGTCTTCCTCTCCTCCTTCTCCTTCCTCCAGTCGCCATCGCTGCAAGACGAGGCGTGGTCGTCGCCGTCGCTGCAAGACGAGGAGTGGTCGTCGCCGTCCTCCTCACGCGCGTCAGCGAGGCCACGAAACCACCACCGCAGCTGCACCGCGACCGCCACCTGTACAAGCCGTCGCGCCTCTTCCTCCTCGCGCCGCATCTCGTCGTGCCCCGATCTGCTCGTGCCGCCTTCTGCATCGCCGTCCCGTGTCTTGCCTCATCGCGCCGCCGTCGTCTGCAAGCTGAGGTGAGCAGGCCCGTGTGAGGAGGATCCGACCCGAGTAGCGTGGATGTGGCTTGACCCGCGCCTGGGTTGTGGGTCTGGGCTGTTGTGTCGATGGGCCGGGTACACGGGCCAAGGCCTAGGCTCCTGTTTAGGGCCTGGGTTTGGTGCTGTGCTAAGCCTGGGCTGACACTATTTGGCCCAGTCCAAATTTTTAAAAAAAAAAAGAGAAAAAGAAAATATAATCTGGAAAAAATATAATTATGGAAGGAAAATAATTCTGAGAAATAAGTATAACACTAGAATAACTTGGAAAATAAAAATAATTGGTAGAAATTATATTTTTGGGAAAAGTATATTATATATGGTAAATAATAATTATTTTGGAGGAAAATAAATATGGAAAGGGTATTATCAAAGAAGTATGGTACCGGTATAGTATCCGGGTATAGGTATAAGTACGGTATTATTTTTGGACACTGGAAATAAATGGTGAATTATGATGATAATGGAAAATTAGCCCGAGGCAGTAACCGAGACGAGTTAGTATTTATTTTTCGGTATACAGTACTAGCATGACATTTGCATATCACTTATGTGTGCATATTATTTGTTTGATATAGGAGTTGATAACGAGAAGATACCTGGGGAACCGGACTTGGAGTCTGTGGGGCATTTCCAAAATTGATAATCGGCTAAGGTGAGGATGGATAACCTTGGATATGTGGCCGTAATACTGTGTGTGTATTTTTGTTGTTCGATTGAACTGTTGAGAAGTTTATTGATTGTTATTTGTTTGCTATGGATACTATTGTTGCTGGATTGTGTTGTTGGTCTGTGGATATTGTGAGTAATCGTTGAACTGCTAATTGTGAATAATTAGTAATAAGAGATTGTTGATTGGATGAGTCTGTGGAATAACTTGAGAAAATAGGGAAGTTGGATAAATGAGGATAGAATATTGGAACTGGAATTGAATTTGAGATGATGATATAATTGTCACGTGGAAAGTAGTGGTACGACTAGATGGTTAGAGGCTAGTTCTGTGGTGTCATGGCCGGTTTGGTTTGGATATTGGGGATGTTGATCCCGGATTGGTTGTTATTGGAATGTTGATCCCGGATTGTGTTTTGGCCTGGCATCCGGAAATAGTTAATAACCAGGTACGACCCTAGCTTGTCCAGTGACGGGGCCCGGAAGATAAAATTGGTAATAATAATAAATAATCTTTTGGTCTTGGTTCAGTTGTGTTTTAGTAGAATCTTTGTGTTGTGTTTGTCTATGTTTACTTCGAAAGTATTATGGTTGACTGCATATCTCTGTTTATCCTTCGCCGGTGAGCACTTCGGACTCACCCCTCGTCTGAGGGGTTTCATCCCGTAGGTTAAGTTGTTTCGTAGTTCAGGTACGACGTTTGATGACTGCTGCTTTCTTCTCCACCTGACTCCGGATCCATACCTTCGCTGCATGTGCATATAAGACTTCCACTGCTGTGCATTATATGTTGTTGTGTTGCTGCTTTCCTATTTTATTTGTGATGTTGTTTATACTGAATTATGTTGTTGCCGTTGAGTAATATGTCTGGATTGAATAATGGTCCCCGAGTGTGGGTGACAGATGTTGCTTTGTACTTTTGCTGTATTTAGATTTACCGTGTAGTATTTTGACTGCGATGTACTGTCTGTTCTATCAATAAGAATAGTTTCGGCACGTGTTTACTGTGTACGGTAAATAAGGGCCGGGGCGCTTCAAGAATAGTCAACGATAATACTATACCACGTTTTAAAAATACTAGTTTTTTTTTTCACGTGCGATGCATATATCATTTTCACATTAACACGAGCAATTAGCTCC